CCTGTCCCCCACCCTCAGGATTTCTGTAGCCCCCTGTATTTCGAGCTAGTTGGGGCTGGAGTAGAGGGAAGGGCAGAGTCTGGGAGAAGGTCAGATCAGGGAGGTGTCCGGTGGCTCACGTGGACCTGAATCAGTGCTTTCGGTGTTGCCCCTGCTACTGGAAAGCCCGCTCAGCATGCTTAAGTGTAATTGTGAAGCAAAAATTAAATTCTCAGCCCCCTAGCCAACTGATGGACCCCTCTCTCAGCCTCAGACATTGCTCAGTCAACCTGAAAATCTAGTTCAGGCCATCGTTAGGGAGGTCAGGCAGGCCTCATTAGGCCCCTCCCTTTGGAATTCAGGCCCAGCTGACCAGCATTCACATTAAACAGAGACTGACAAAGGTGGACATTTTATAGCAGCCACAGCACACCACATTCCAGTCTGACTCTAGTGCAGCAGCACAAGACAGGTGGCAGGCCCTGAAAAATATCTAAGTATTTTACCCCAAAATATCTATTTATTTGACGAATTTCAGAATGGCCCTATAGGACCGTCTCTTGTGGGGAAAGTCTGCACCCTGTAGAGAATCTCCTCCCTTCCAAGGTCTTTTCCCTGATGCAGGAGGGAATTAACTCGGAGTCTGGCACCTTCTCAGGTCTGCTGCCTGCTGCCCAGAGGCCTCATCTGCTTGATAAAGCCTTGGTCTACACAGCCCCTTATCTTAAGCGGAGGCATTCCTTGCTATTGATTCCAAGTCTTTAGAGAATAACTCTTTCAAACAGTTGCCAATCAGAAGATCTTGGCATCTGCTTATGACCTGGAAGCCCTCCTGTCCCCCACTTAGAGTTGTCCCGTGTTTCCTGACTGAACCAGCATCTTGCATGTAGGGTTGATGTCTTATGTCTCCCCAAGATGTATAAACCAGGCTGTAGCCTGATCCTCTTGGACACGTGCTCTCAAGGCTTCCTAGGGCAGCATCACGGGCTGTTAGTCACTCTTATTTGGCTCAGAATAAACCTCTTCAAATATTTTACAGAGTTTAAGTCTTTTTGCCAACATAATATACCCACAAGTGCGTGCCCATGTTGTAAGTGCAGAGCCAGCAGGTTTTTCAAACTGACCATTCCCACGGCCCTTTTCTCAGGTCCTCCCAGGCCCCCGACAGCAGCCAGCTCTCCACCGGCCCCGCATCTTCCTTAAGTTCCCCACATGGTGAGGTCCTTCCTGTGCCTGGCTTCTTCCACTTGCTATTGTGCTTATGGATTTAGCCCTATTTTTTTTTTTTTTTTTTTTTTTTTTGAGACGAAGTCTTGCTCTATTGCCCAGGCTGGAGTGCAGTGGTGCGATCTCAGCTCACTGCAGCCTCTGCCTTCTGAGTTCCAGCGATTCTCTTGACTCAGCCTCCTGGGTAGCTGGGATTACAGGTGCACCCTACCAGGCCTGGCTAATTTTTGTATTTTTTAGTAGAGACGGGGTTTCACCATGTTGATCAGGCTGGTCTCAAACTCCTGACCTGGTGATCCGCCCGCCTTGGCCTCCCAAAGTGTTGGGATTACAGGTGTGAGCCACTGCCTCTGGCTGTATTCAGCCCTATTTTTGTGCGTCACTGTAAATTGTTTACTTTTATTATTCTATTGCAAGAACATGCTGTGACTTTACAATTTATTCTCCTGTTGACGGCAGTGGGTAGTTTACCATTTTTGGTTTTGAGGGTGAAGCTGCTCTAGGAGTTCCTTGTCCTTGGGAGCATGGTACGGCCCTGAGCAGGATGGTCATCGGGAGCACGTCCCTTCAGCCTTGGAAGTTCCTGCAGCGGCTGCAGGGTCACCTGCTTCCAGCATCTGTGGCCCCTGGGCTCCCTGACCTCAGCAGCACACGGCCATGTCTGCTCTCCTGCTCGCCTTGTGGGAGGCGTGCAGAGACGGCTTCTCACTTGCGCTTCCCGGGTGACTAATAAGGTGTGCACCTTTCATTAGGGTTGGGAGCTCCTCTGCCTGCTTGCTGATCGCAGGAGGGGTCTGCAGACTTTTTCTCTAAAAGAGTTGCAGGCCACATGGCCCCCGTGGCAACTGCTCACCTCTGCTGTTGTGCTGCAGAAGCAGCCAAAGGCACGTGGGTCAGTGAGCACGGCTGTGTTCCCATGAAACAATTTTCAGAAACGGGCCGTGGCAGGATTGGCAGGGTTGGCCTGTCCCTGGTCTGTTGGGTCGTCAGTCTTTTCTCACTGATTATAGGAGTCCTTTAGATATGAGTCCCGTATGGGGTGTGTGTATCACAGATCCTTTGTCCTCTCTCTGGGTCTCCTTTTCACCTTTTGAGGCACAGATTTTTGTTTTTATTTTTGTTTTCCAAGACAGAGTCTCGCTCTGTTGCCCAGGCTGGAGTGCAGTGGTGCCATCTTGTCCCACTGCAACCTCTGCCTCCCGGACTCAAGTAATTCTCCTGCCTCAGCCTCCCAAGTAGCTGGGATTACAGGCGCCTGCCACGATGCCTGGCTAATTTTTATAGTTTTGGTAGAGATGGGGTTTCAGCATCTTGGCCAGGCTGGTCTTGAACTCCTGACCTTGTGATCCACCCATGTTGGCCTTCCAAAGTGCTGGGATTACGGGCGTGAGCCACCGCCGTGGACCAGAACAGATGTTTTTAATTTTGCTATAGTTGAGTTAATCCATTTTTCTTTTATGTTTATTAGCACTTTTGTGTCCCACTCAATAAATCTTTGCTTACTACACAGTCACTATGATGTTTACTTATGCTTTCCTTTAAAAATGTTATTGTTTTACCTTCATATTCATATCTGTGATCGCTATATAATTTTTTTGTTATGTTTTCTTTTGAGACAGTCTTGCTGTGTCGCCCAGGCTGCAGGGCAGTGACACAATCTTGGGTCACTGCAATCTTTGCCTCCCGGATTCAAGTGATTCTCTTGCCTTAGCCTCCTGATTATTGGGACTACTGGCGCCCGCCACCATGCCTGGCTAATTTTTTTGTATTTTTGGTAGAGACAGGGTTTCGCCATATTGGCCCGGCTGACCTCAAACTGCCAGCCTCAAGTGATCCGCCCTCCTTGACCTCCCAAAGTGCTGGGATTACAGGCATTTATTTTCTCACTAGTTTTTAAGCAGTATAACTCTTGGTGGGGCGTGGTGGCTCATTCCTGTAATTCCAGCCCTTTGTGGGGCTGAGGCAGGTGGATCACAAGGTCAGGAGTTTGAGATCAGCCTGGCCAACGTGGTAAAACCCTGTCTCTACTAAAAATAACTAGCTGGGCATGGTGGCATGCGCCTATAATCCCAGCTACTCGGGAGGCTGAGGCAGGAGAGTCGCTTGAATCCAGAGAGGCAGAGTTTGCAGTGAGTCGAGACTGCACCACTGCATTTCAGCCTGGGCGACAGAGCAAGACTCTGTCTCAAAAAAATATAGGCCGGGCACGGTGGCTCAAGCCTGTAACCCCAGCACTTTGGGAGGCCGAGACGGGCGGATCACGAGGTCAGGAGATGGAGACCATCCTGGCTAATATGGGGAAACCCCGTCTCTACTACAAAAATACAAAAAACTAGCCGGGCGAGGTGGCAGGCGCTTGTAGTCCCAGCTACTCGGGAGGCTGAGGCAGGAGAATGGCGTAAACCCGGGAGGTGGAGCTTGCAGTGAACTGAGATCTGGCCACTGCACTCCAGCCTGGGCGACAGAGCAAGACTCCGTCTCAAAAAAAAAAAAAAAAAAAAATATATATATATATATATATATATATAACTCTTTTAGGGGACACATATTTTGAAAAGCTCATTTGTGACCGGATCTGATTGCTAGCTAGTGTTACCCATCTTCTGTGGACCTGGCATGGAAAGCGCGTTGGGCATCCGTGTGCAGACCGTCTGGTTTATGCAGCCTCTCTGCCGTGCAGCGTGGGCCTCTCTGCCGTGCAGCGTGGGCCTCTTGGTCCCCAGCATGACCTTGCATGTGGGCCTTCTCTGTTCCCGTCACGCATCAGGAAAAGCTGTGCTGAGGAGAGGAGGAGATGGGGTGGGGAGGGGTGCTGAGCCCCTCGTCATTGCTTCTGAGGGAGTAGCAGGTTTCACTACAGTGGCCCGGGGAGGGGGAAGGGCCTCCTGGCTGATGGACCAGTGTGTGTTTTCCTCTTGCTGATTCTCCTCCCCTCAGAGGGCAGTTTTCTATCACAGTATCTGAGCCTGTTGGTAAAACAAGCACCCAATCATAAGAAACAGAAAATAGCGTCTTCCTGTAGCATAGCCTAATTTTAGATGGTGGCTGTGGAAGGGAGGCACGCCTGCCTGTCGCTGTGTAGGAAGGGGACTGATGCAGACAGGCAGACCAAGTTGAAGACCCTATCGGGAGTCTATGAAGTGGCACACGCCTCCCGGTTTTGGTTTCTTTGTTGTTTTTCTTTTCCTTTTTTTTTTTTTTTGAGATGGAGTCTCGCTCTGTCGCCCAGGCTGGAGTGCAGTGGTGCAATCTCAGCTCACTGCAAGCTCCACCTCGCGAGTTCACGCTATTCTTCTGCCTCAGCCTCCCTAGTAGCTGGGACTACAGGCGCCCACCACCGTGCCCGGCTAATTTTTTTTTGTATTTTTAGTAGAGACGGGGTTTCACCTTCTTAGCCAGGATGATCTCAATCTCCTGACCTTGCGATCCTCCCGTCTCGGCCTCCCAAAGTGCTGGGATTACAGGCATGAGCCACCACGCCCGGCCTCTGTTTTTTTTTTTTTTTTTTTGAGACGGAGTCTCGCTCTGTTGCCCAGGCTGGAGTGCAGTGGTGCGATCTTGGCTCACTGCAAGCTCCGCCTCCTGGGTTCAAGCAATTCTCCTGCCTCAGCCTCCTGGGTAGCTGGGACTACAGGTGCCGCCACCTCGCCCGGCTAGTTTTTTGTCTTTTTAGTAGAGACGGGGTTTCACCGTGTTAGCCAGAATGGTATAGATCTCCTGACCTCATGATCTGCCCGCCTCGGCCTCCCAAAGTGCTGGGATTACAGGCGTGAGCCACCGTGCCCGGCCCTGGTTTGGTTTCTGTATCATTTTTACTGAAAGCATGCGTATTTAAGGCCATGGGATTCATCCTGAGCTGTCCCAGGAGTGGTGCGTGGTGGGCATTTCTGTGGGTGTGAAACTGGAACTTCTCACGGCTGAGCACAGCAGGTCTGGACAGAGCAGAGTACGTGGTCCTCCTGACTCTGCCCCCTTCTCCTGGGCACGAGGAGTCGCCTCTCTCTCCCAGGCCCCTTTCTTTCCTGGAACGAAGCAGCACCTGGCCTGCACGGCAGGTTCTCCTGAGGACTCCTGGGGAAGGGGTGGGAGTGGGGAGCGCTGGAGCACAGGAGCCGCTGCAGGCACAGCTGTTTCCCGTTGCCTCGGCCACTGTGTTTTCCAGAACTTGGCTGTGGGGGAGTCACTCTCTTCAGAAGGAGGACGGGTACTTGGAAACCCCTTCCTTTTCTCCGTTGCAATTTGCTGTTAAGTTTTAGATTAAAGTAGAAGTTGGAATTCCATCGCCCAGTGGTTGCGTGAGGACAGCAGCTCCCTAGAGAAGAGGCGAAGGTGCTTGAACCCAGATGTTGGTCTGTGTGGAACTGTGCTGCCTGTGTGGCGCTGTGGGACTCGTGATGTGGGAGGCACACTTGCTGCAGAGTGAGGAGAGTGAAGAGGCTGGAGTGTTTGAAACAACTGCATGTTTGGCTAAGTAAAATGTTTTATTAAAATATATTTGGGCTGGGCGCAGTGGCTCACACCTGTCATCCCAGCACTTTGGGAGGCCAAGGCGGGCAGATCACGAGGTGAGGAGATCGAGACCATCTTGACTAACACGGTGAAACCCCTTCTCTACTAAAACTACAAAAAATTATCCGTGTGTGGTGGCAGGCGCCTGTGGTCCCAGCTGTTTGGAGACTGAAGCAGGAGAATGGCATGAACCCTGGAGGCGGAGCTTGCAGTGAGCTGAGATCGTGCGCCACAGACTCCAGCCTGGGTGACACAGCAAGACTCCATCTCAAAAAAAGAAAAAAAAACCAAACTGTTTCTTTACTTGTTATTTTTTTTGAGACAGGGCCTTGCTCTGTCACCCAGGCTGGAGTGCAGTGGCATCATCACCGCTCACTGTAGCCTCGACCTCCCAGGCTCAAGCGACCTTCCCACTTCAGCCTCCTGAGTACCTGGGACTACAGGCGTGTGCTTCCACACCTGGCTGATTTAGAAATTTTTTTTTGCAGTTGAGGCCTCCCTCTGTTGCCCGGGCTGGTCTCAAACTCCTGAGCTCAAGCCATCTGCTCGCCTTGGCCTCCCAAAGTGTTGGGATTACAGGCGTGAGCCTTCGCACCCAGCCCACCTTTTTTTTTTTTTTTTTTTTTTTTGAGATGAGTCTCACTTGTTGCCCAGGCTGGAGTGCAGCAGCACCATCTCGGCTCATTGCAAGCCCTGCCTCCTGGGTTCACACCATTCTTCTGCCTCAGCCACCCGAGTAGCTGGGACTACAGGCGCCCACTACCAAGCCCGGCTAATTTTTTGTATTTTTATAGAGACAGCGTTTCACTGTGTTAGCCAGGATGGTCTCGATTCTTGACCTCGTTATCCACCTGCCTCGGCCTCCCAAAGTGCTGGGATTACAGGCTTGAGCCACTGCACCTGGCCTTTTTTTTTTTTTTAAACGTGACTCCCAGGACTCACGTGTGGCTTGTAGCACACCCTCTGGAAAGCACCTTCCACACCCGCAGCTTGGGGATGCCTATGGCCTTCAGTCAGAAGACATCATTTCTGTTTTACTTTGTAGGTCTCACCCCCATGGCCAGTCTGTCATCACGGTGATTGGGGGTGAGGAGCACTTTGAGGACTACGGTGAAGGCAGTGAGGCAGAGCTGTCCCCAGAGACCCTGTGCAACGGGCAGCTCGGCTGCAGCGACCCCGCTTTCCTCACGCCCAGGTAACGACACCTTGCACCAGCACACCCTCCTCCCTCTTCTTCCCGTGGTTGATTATAGGAAGTTTCCCTTTTTGGTTCGTACGTTGGTAAGAGAGAACTTACTTTCCTTGATGTCATGTGATTAAGTAAACTATATTCAAAAATTTAAAATTTATACCTGGATTTAGGAAAGCTGGGTGAAGTCCCTCTTATCCAGCTACATCCCCAGATCACTGCATTTCTGAGGCTTCAGCAGAGTCTTGTGGTACAGAGCTGTGTTTGGACACTCGGCTTGCAGGCTCCTTAGCCGTGGGCCGTGGATCACATGGTGGGCTGTGCAGGCTTTTGAGGGAGGCCTCGAGATCACAAGTGAGTCTTCAGATTCATTTCCTTGTAAATATCTGACATCCCAGCTGAAAAGCTGTGACTCTAAATAAATAGAAGCATGACACGCAGTGGGTGAGATGCCTACTCACAAACGTCCAGAGTCCTCTTGGCTTGGATCCAAACATGGGGTCTGGGTACGCACGTCTGAGGGCTTGGGGCTCCCGCGTGGGAGTCAGTCCCTCGAGGACGCTCCTGAGTTCAGGGAGACCCTCGCCTGGCTGATGGGGCTGTTACTTCAATCCCTTCTCCCCTTTGCTGCTAGGTTCTTGTTGTCCATCTTTGCCAGCATTCAAGGCCGAGTCTCTTTAAGCAGGCACAAGAGTCTTCCCTTGCCTGCCACCTGCCCGCTGTTACCGAGGCCCAGGGAACCCGGGTGGAGGGCGGTGCAGGAGGGGCCATCCCTTGAGCTGAGCAGCTCATCTGCCCATAGGGTCCCCTTCCTTTCGTTTCCCATGTGCCCTCCCTGAAGCCACCCATCAGCCCTGGGTGTGGGGACCCTGCATGGATGTCCCGTGTGCTGGTTGGTCCCGGGGAGCGTCCTGGGAGAGCTGTGCGTGAGTGAGGCGTCGCAGGCGTCCTCAGAGGCAGTGTGCTTGTCTTTGGCACTGTCCTCTCCCAGTGGGCGGTGGTGTCAAGACAAGGGCCAGAGGACTGGGCGTTTCTAAACTTGTGTCTCTGGGCTTGGTAATCACCTCTTCCTACCTGTGTAGTTCCTCCCTGTCTCCTGTGCAGTGTTTTCATTGTTACCTGTTTCAAGTGTCATCTGTGCTACATTGTATGTTTCACTTTTCACCTTTCTTTACTTGAGCTTCCACAGCCTGTGGGTCCCAGTGCCCAAGATGAGGCTGCCTTTGCTCCTCTGCCTTCGCGTCGCAGACACAGCACCCCCTGCCAGTGCCCCAGAAGCCCTTGGAGGTGAAGTCACAGGGAGGTTAGCTAGCACCACCACGATACAGAACCCTGAGTTTTAATGCAGGTCGGTTTTTTGGGTTTTTTTTTTTTTGAGACAGGATCTCACTTTATTGCCCAGGCTGGAGTGGTGCCATCATGGCTCACTGCAGCCTCAACCTTCCTCAGCTTCCTGAATAGCTGGGACTACAGGTGTGAGCTACTACAGCTGACTAATTTTTGTATTTTTTGTAGAGACAGGGTTTCACCATGTTGCCTAGGCTGGTCTCAAACGCCTGAGCTCAAGCGATCCACCCACCTCAGCCCCCCCAAAGTGCTGGAATTACAAGCATGAGCCACCATGCCTGGCTTTAATGCACATCTTAAAAATCAGAAAACTATTGTAGATTTATCATTCATGCATAGTTTTTGCTAGAGGTGATTTTTGGAGTAATCATAAATATAGTACAGTAAGTAAAGTTTACCTGGAGATATGGTTTGCTATCACGTTGATGTGTTTCTGGCAAAAGAGAAAGCAGTGTGGTTTTTTACCTTCTTTTTAAAGAAGGGCTTTTGCTTTGCAAGGAAGCTCTCAGGCTGCCCCTGCTTTCTTCTGGGCACCTGACCCAGAGGAGCAGGTGTGTGCGGGGCCCCCTGCTGCTCGAGCTGGTGCCTGTCCTGGGCTCCTGGAGGCAGCTGAGGGGTGTGGGCTCACTGCGGTCTAAAGGCAAGAGCCAGAACATTGCATAGCTCATTCTCTCTCCACGTGCTTTTGTTCCACACCATGTCCCGTCCTGTCCCCCTCAGCCCCTTGTGCAGAGTCACAGATGACCCCACGGGTCCCCATCCTCTCCTGAACGGATGCTTCTGTCTCTCTAGCACTGACCCTCTTGCCGCAAAGCTGCACAGCATCCTCACTGATGAGGCATTTGAGTTTTACTGTAGCCAGTGCCACAAACAAATCAACCGCCTTGAGGATCTTTCCGCCCGCCTGAGTGATCTTGAAATGAATAGGTAACTGATGAGCGCCTGGCCTTGCTGTCTGTTCCCAGGGTGTGGGGGATCCCGATACCCACAGCCCCCCACAGCCCCCCACAGCCCCGTTGAGGGCCTGACCTGACTCCGGTGCTTCCTGAGGCCTGGCCTGGTTGCCGCGAGGCGAGCAGGAGCCTTTCAGGCAGCGAGACTCTCCCTGGGGCCCCGCCTCCTCCCCTGCACGCCGCGGGCCGCCGGGGCCCCGCCTACTCCCCTGCACGCCATGGGCCGCCGGCGCCCCACCTCCTCCCCTGCATGCGCAGCTCAGGGCAGCGCTTGTGTTGGTGGAGAAAGTGATCAGTCTTTGCAAGCTGTGCTGTCTGTCCTGTGTGTGAAAGAGGATTCTTTCTGCATTTTACTAAAAGATTTCTTTCATTGAGCTCATGAGACAGAATTGGGAATGTTAAAAGATTTGGTCTTTAAGAACAAATGTGTAAACAGCTTTCAGGATTGTTAGTATCAGTGGAGTTTTGTGTACTCACAGTGAGCCTGTGAGGGAGCTGACTGTGTCTCGGCAGGGGAGCTCTGTGGCTGGCCCCATGTCTAACCCGCAGTTACAGAAGACAGTTTTGGGTGGTTTGCACATATTGACGTGCCTATTAGGCATTGTGTTGATTTTGCCTGCGGTAAAGCCCATGGGGAAGCCCCTGGGTGGACAGCCCTCGAGGAGGGTCTGGTGAAGAAATGGGCCCCTTTGGAGCTTTCCACAGCAGCCCTCGCCTAGCAGAAGAGGTGAGTGAGCACGCAGGCTCATGCTGGCAATCCAGGATGGCTTCCTGGAAAACGAGCCCTGGCCTGTTGGGAGGGTTTGTAAAGGTGGCAGAAAGGTGAGCTACCGTTATGGTTCTAGCATGTTTAGAGGTCTTTGTGAAACTGCTTACTGTCTGGAGCCTGCTTCTGTCCCTGCCCCCAGGGGGCTTCTGCCAAGGCCAACCCATCCTTGCTGGTGGGTGCTCACTGCTCACAGCCTTGTTGAGGCTTCTGTCCTGCCTCTAGTTCCATTTCCAGGGCACTTAACTCTTCTTAGGTTCCATGAAATGCTGTGAAACACAGGGCCTCCAGCCAGTGCCCATTCAGGTGGAGAGGATGCAGGTGAGGCCCGGCACTGATGGCCATTCTGGAGCATCGGGGGGTCTTGGCAGCACTGATGAGAAAGCAGAAGTGCTCTTTGAAGAGGGCCTTCCTGGGAGACTTGAGGCCATCCAGAATCTGGTGATTCCAAAGATCCGCTAGCCTCTGTTTGAGGGGAAATCAGTTTTCGCCTGCTGTATTTGTTTAGCTAAGGGTTCAGGGCTCGGTGATGATGGCTCATCCTGCTTGGGGAGGGGTCATTTGTTCTTCCCACACAGAGACTTGCCCTCCCACCCACCGATAAGTTGAGTGCAAGCATATCATCTCCGTATGTGAAAGTAAGCCTGAAGACTCAGGTCTCGTCTCATTCTCTGAAGATTTTTGACATAGAAGGGATTTTTTCCCACATTGAGAACTAGCTCCATGATGGCCATGGTCACCTCTGCTGGGCTTTGTGGGTTAGAGAAGGGACTAGGATGTAGCTAAGTACAACCAGCAAGTCCTGTGGAGCCTCACGTCCAGGTTCTGCCACCCCTTTTCCTAAGACTCTACGAAGCGGGCCAGGCACAGTGACTCACGTCTGTAATCCTAGCATTTTGGGAGGCTGAGGCAGGCAGATCATTTGAGGCCAGGAGTTTGAGACCAGCCTGGCCAACATGGTGAAACCCTGTCTCTACTAAAAATATAAAAATTAGCCAGGAGTGGTGGTGCACGCCTGTAGTTCCAGCTACTTGGTAGGCTGAGATGGGAGGTTCACTTGAACCCAGGAAGTTGAGGCTGCAGTGAGCCAAGATTGTGCCACTGCACCCCAACCTGGGCGACAGAGCCAGACTCTGACTCCAAAAAAAAAGACTCTGCCAAGTGGTTAATATGCTATTCAGTTCAACACAATCAGGGCACACAGCTGCCAGTGAGAACATTCTCCCCAGAACCCTCAGTGGAGGAGATCTGAATCTTGCCTTTTAGTTTCCATGGACTTGCCCGAAAGCAAGCTTATTTGGTCATGCTTTGTGGGTGACAAGAGGTGATTTAGTCCAGACCACCTCTGGAAGCTTTAATATCGGATACGATGTCCAATCACCTCAGAACAGGCCAACAGCTATTTCATTTTCCAGGTATCCTGGAGCCTCTAAATACATTTCATTTTGTAGAAACTAAGAAGTGTGCCTTACATGGAGGTATATTTTCTTTTTTCTTTTTTTTTGAGACAGAGTCTCGCTTTGTTGCCCAGGCTGGAGTGCAGTGGTGCGATCTCTGCTCACTGCAACCTCTGTCTCCCAGATTCAGGCGATTCTCCTGTCTCAGCCTCCCAAGTAGCTGGGACTCCCAAGTATCTGCCACTGCACTGGCTAATTTTTGTATTTTTAGTGGAGACAGGGTTTCACTGTGTCTCAGTCTCCGGACCTCGTGATCCTCCCGCTTCAGCCTCCCAGAGTGCTGGGATTACAGGCTGAGCCACTGCGCCTGGCCTGCCTGGAGGTATATTTTCAAATTACAAACGCTGTTGCTGGTCTGCCAGTCCAGGCCCTGAGAAGTAAACTGAACGTTCAGTAGGTAAACTGAACGATGAGTCTGTCCTGTCTTATTAGTTCTAGGGAGTCTCAACAATAATAATAGGATAAAATTAGATTTGTATTCAGCCTGGGTGCGGTGGCTCATGCCTGTAATCCTAGCACTTTGGGAGACCAAGGTGGCGGATCACGAGGTCAGGAGATCGAGACCATCCTGACTAACACGGTGAAACCCAGTCTCTACTAAAAATACAAAAAATAAGCCGGGCGTGGTAGCAGGCGCCTGTAGTCCCAGCTACTTGGGAGGCTGAGGCAGGAGAATGGCGTGAACCCAGGAGGCGGAGCTTACAGTGAGCCGAGATCGCGCCACTGCACTCGCGACAGAGCGAGACTCTGTCTAAAAAAAAATAGACCTGGCCGGGCGCGGTGGCTCAAGCCTGTAATCCCAGCACTTTGGGAGGCCGAGACGGGTGGATCACGAGGTCAGGAGATCGAGACCATCCTGGCTAACACGGTGAAACCCCGTCTCTACTAAAAAATACAAAAAAACTAGCCGGGCGAGGTGGCGGGCACCTGTAGTCCCAGCTACTCGGGAGGCTGAGGCAGGAGAATGGCGTGAACCCGGGAGGCGGAGCTTGCAGTGAGCCGAGATCCGGCCACTGCACTCCAGCCTGGGCGACAGAGCAAGACTCCGTCTCAAAAAAAAAAAAAAAAAAAAGACCTGTATTAAAATACACATTATTAGTCTCCAATCAGGAAAGGAGAGCCACACAGTAATTTGAACAAGGAAAGTTTAATACAAAGAATGGACTGGGTGTGGGCTGAAATCCCAGTGCTTTGGGAGGCTGAGGCGGGAGGATCACATGAGCCTGAGAGGTTGAGGCTGCAGTGAGCTGTGGTTGCACTACTGCACTTCAGCCTGAGCGACAGAGTCAGACCCTGCCTGTAAAAAAAGGTAATACAAACAAACAAAAAATTTTAAAAATCATTAGGGAAAGAAAAAGAATGACTGCCACAGGCTATGGGAGTAATGAGGCACTGGTTGGGATGAGTAAAAAGAACTCTGCAGAGCATAGGGATAGCAGCCACAGGAGCAGCCGCCACCCAGGGCCCGGGCAGAGCCCCCCAGCTGCAGCCACTGCTACCCAAGGCTGAGGTCTGTAGCAGCTGCAAACCGGGCGGTGGGGACACCACCGTGCTGTGAGGGCTTGTGGGGAACCTGCCTCCTGGCTGCCAGGAAAGCTATTCTGTTGCAGGATGCTTGCAGAGTCACCCCCTAGAGAACAGCTACCCGAATGGGGTCGGGGAAGCCCCTGGTTTTGGCTACAGTGGGCAGGATGCTCCCTAGAGTGGGGGCTAGGGAGGCAGCGTGTGTTGGAGGGCCCTGCAGAGAGTGGTCAGAACCAGGAGGCAAACCTCTTCCTGCTGTGTTCGCTCCACGGCTCCCTCTGCTGATGACACGCAGCATCATGGAGGAGGAGCCTGCTAAGGGCCCAGCGCTGTTTCTGCAGGGCCAGTAAAAAGGATGGGCTTGGAGCTGAGGGGCTCTACATTAATACCTGACACAGCAGCTGATTCTCCTCCAGCAGATTTTTTTTTTTTTTTTTTTTGAGACAGAGTTTTGCTCTTTGTTGCCCAGGCTGGACAGTGGCGTGATCTTGGCTCACTGCAACCTCCACTTCCCCGGTTGAAGCGATTCTCCTGTCCCAGCTTCCCGAGTAGCTGAGATTAAAGGCATGTGCCATCACGCCCGATTATTTTTGTATTTTTAGTGGAGACAGGGCTTTTCCACATTGCCAGGCTGGTCTTGAACTCCCGACCTCTGGTGATCCACCCGCCTCGGCCTCCCAGAGTGCTCGGATTATAGGCATGAGCCACCATGCCCGGCCCCTCCAGCAGACTTTTCTGCCTGACCCTGGAAAGAAAATCGGGTGTTTTTGAGACAGGTAGGCTGAAGAGAGATGTGGCTTTGTGAGTTCCAGGATCTTGATGGTTCTCAGGCCTTGGGGGTGAGGGTGTCTTCTTGCAGGCTGAGGCTAATAGTTTAGCAGCTATACTGTAAAATACAACTTTGGACCTCAGAAATGAGAGAGAAGGTAAGTTTGGCTCATGTGCCACTGCAGATGGTTAAATCAAACAGTTGATGTATAATTGGCTACATTTACTGCCCTGAAATGGCAATGGGAAAGGTGTCCAAACTGATACCTAGGCAGGCGTTCTGAGCATGATGCATCAGTGCCTAAGTCGAAGTCAGCGGCAAACTCTCCTGTCATAGTGGGACCTGGGGTCTCTTTTCACTTGGGGGTCTCCGAAGGCCAAGCGTTTGGGGGTAATTTGGCTTCAGAAGCATTGGGACAGTGCAGCCAGCTGATGGGACCAGGTGTGGCGCTGGCCCCTCAGTCGCAGTCTGGGGTGGCTGCATCTGGAAGCCTCTTTGGGGGCTGGAGTAACGAGACGTATGCGGCCTCATCCCAGCACCCCCGTGTCCTTGCTGTTTTGCTGAGTGAGCGTTTGTGCATGGGCTTGCCTGGGGGGCCCTGCATGCCGGGAGCACTGCTGAAAGGCCGCCCACCCCGTATCTCCACA